GAGCCTGTCTCTGCTCAATGCCACTCAGGGGACCAACAGCCTATCTCTAGGTGGCCGGAGCCAAGCATGCCCAGAAAGGTACATGAGGGCCTGATGAGGCCAATGGGGATTGAACCCAAGACCTCCTGAATGCCACTTTCGTGCTTTACCAACTGAGCTAGGCCGCTGGATACCAGCCTTCGTGCAGATCTATGCGTCGTTACAAATCAACAAAAAACTAAGAAAAACTGCTGAAAGACAGACTCAAGTAACCAATGGGGCTCAATTGGTACACCCCTAAACTGCTGAAATACAGACTCAAGTCCGAATCCAGATACTCTCAAAACAAGATAATAAAATCATTCTGTAACTCGAGGCAATTCAGCAAACAAAACAACCAAAAGAACGAAAGAAAAACGAAGCAAGAGAAAAAGAGAGAGAGAGAGAGAGAAGAAGTGCGGGGTGCGACTTAAACGTAATCGAAGTAATGAGCTTTGATCGAGGTGCAGCGACAGACGTTGATTCTAGTCTTTGCCACTCAACGTCTCATTGAAACCGCCCAGCCGATATGTCGGCTGAACCGCCGCAGACGGAGGAAACATTCTTTGAGACTATGGTGACTTGTTCACTAGAGGAAGGGTATGATCAGGAATTCACATCCCTGTTGCGGTCAAGGCCGATGCCAAAGCCGGCCCTATGCAGGCAGCCCCACGTGTGTGCCTCCCCTTCCCGCCCCCCCCACCAACACACACACACACAGAAGAGAGAGAGAGAGAGAGAGAGAGAGAGAGAGAGAGAGAGAGAGAGAGAGAGAGAGAGAGAGAGAGAGAGAGAGAGAAAGAGAAAGGAGAGAGAGCGGAATCGGCGGGTGGCACGACAGAGATAGATGATCAAAGTCAAAATGAAAAGACAACTGAGAGCTGCTACGGAGAGAGTGTGACAGACTGGCAGTAGATAAGTGAAGAGTCTGAAGGCGAAGGATACAATCCCTCTCAACGCGCGCTAAAATTGGAGCGGTACAGAGCTTACATTAGAAGATTAGCACGGGCGCTGCAGATAAGACGTCTATCTTCCAAACAATACGCAAGGCTCATCCATTACAAATATAACTAGGATCACTTCTCACATTCTCGGCGGGCATCCTCCATCCCATCGCACAAAAGACAGTTGGGCAATGACGTCCCGCCAAATCCTCCTCGCAGACAACTAGCTTCACGAAGCCGAGAACGACGGCAGCAAATCCTGTCGAATCGTCCAATCGCAAATCCGACAAAGAGCATACTCGCACACAACGATGTCGTCTACGTATTCACACACAACGGTAGGTGACTAGGAGTTCCATTGATATGTACCACCGCAATTACGACTAGCCATCGACGTATTTAGCACCTATTTCCTCTTAAAACGCCTAGTGTGTGAGCATTGCCAAAGAGAGGACTGCGCATGGAAATATAAGTCCTCAACACACACACACACACACACACACACACACACACACACACACACACACACAGAGAGAGAGAGAGAGAGAGAGAGAGAGAGAGAGAGAGAGAGAGAGNAGAGAGAGAGAGAGAGAGAGAGAGAGAGAGAGAGAGAGAGAGAGAGGGCGCTACGGGAAGAGTGGAGTAGAAGACGAAGCAGAACCGACAAGACGAAGGAAGGGCATCCTGCGCACACCAGGAAGGCCAACAGGAACGAGAAATGAGAGACGCGGGCGAGTTGTGAATCGCTAACCGGAGCGTACTTGGCAGTGTCGACGAAGAGTGAGCCCTCCACACAGTCGATATCCGTTTCCGTAGCTGACAGTGCCTGCTTGAGTTCGTGATGCATGCCAGTGCAGCCTGCGTTTTTGTAAAGGGGGTTTTGCCCCTTCTCCGTCATCTCCAAGTTTCAATCACTTGAGCCTCCACACAGCAAGGGCATACGCACAGTGTCACTTTCTTGGAATGGGTGTACCTGACAGCCACAGTGCCCACATTAGTTCAGAGCATTTCCATTCTGAGTATCAAAGGGTAATCCATGCTGCCCTGCTTTGTCAATTAATTTCATTTTTCTCTCTGTATACTTCACAGGGATTCTCGCCGTGGTTTTCATCAGCCTTTGCTCCCCACCAATAAACTCGAGCATTGGTTTAAATAGTGATTAACAAAAAAAAGGAGAAAAAGAAGTAATAATAATGACGGGTAATTGCAGAAATATCGCGTTTTGGAAGTTTAGCAACAGAAAATGTTGTAGGGGCCGAAAGATCTAAGTTATTATTAAAAAAAAAAGAAAAGAAAAAAAAAATTAAAAAGAAAGATCTAAGTTATTATTGCAAGGAAAGTTGGACCCCGCCTCCAAATCTTTTTGCGGTGAAACTACGGGGAGCTGTAGAGCGGCATAGATATATATTTATATTTGTGACGATATATATGTATATATATTATGTCCTTCGGGACATCCGTTACAATTGGAACGATACAGAAAAGATTGGCATAGCCCCTGCGCAACGATGACACACATAAATCGAGAGAGAGATTTTTGCAACGAATCTTGGGCCCCGCCGCCAATATGTTTGCTGTGAAACTACAGCGATGCGCTATTTTTGAAACGTACCGTAATAATAATAATAGAACCTGAGTACCAACTTACTCTGCGTCAGGCTCTTTGAGTTTCAATATGTTTGCTGTGAAACTATAAGCAACCGGACTGTTGGCCCCCAGAATAGATGGGGCCTCGGTGTTTTTGGGGAAAAAAAAAAAAAACAAAAAACTACCGCGATGCGCTATTTTTGAGACGTACCCTAATAATAATAATAGAACCTGAATACCAACTTACTCTGCCTCAGGCTTTTTGAGTTTCTCCCCATTGGCCTCATGTAGCTTCCTGGGCAAGCTTGGCACCCGGCACCTAGAGATAGAACGTTGGTCCCCCTAGAGGTAGAAGTTCTAGAACGTTGGTCCCCCTGAGCGGCATTGAGTAGAGGCTGCGGATGTGGCGGGGACCGGATAGGAGCCACGGCACTGGCCCGTCCAAGAAGCTTGGTCCTGATGCTAGGGCCTGACCCCTGGCTGGTATCACCCACCGTTCGAGACTTGAACTCGGGCTTGCTGCTATGGGGAACCCCCATACTATGATGATAATACAAATAAGGCCTGAAAGGTCTCCCTGTCAGATTGTACAGGTGATTGTAAGGGAAAAAAGAAAAGAAGTTTCTCCTCAAGCAGCTTTCTTAAAGATTGTGAGGTGGATCTCACACCTCTGTGCCTGTCCGTACTGCAAGTTTGTTTAAGGAATGTTGTCACTGCACGGTTTCATGAACTTCACAAAATTTCGGAGGACGGATGTGAAAACATTTGTAGTAGTCGTCTGGTACTGAACGCTACAGAGCATTAGTACCTTCTGTTGAGGAT